GGAGAGGGAATTGGTTTGGTCGAATCAAAGAACCGGAAACCGCCATTTCTTTTAATTATTTTTGGAGTGAAAATTGTCGAAAATAATCGAGAAGGGTGAGCGCTTAATATAGACAGAGCCCGGAATCAAGTCTGGACAGTAAAATTCATTAGGTGTCATAAATGTCTGGACAGTCATTATTTTATAATCACTACTACTATAAATTATTACCATTTATTTTCGTTTATGCGTTATGAGTAAATTAGTTAATGCAACGCTCTGTAATATTTAAACTTATTTAACAGTATTATTTGATTCAGTGTACAAATACATATATCAATAGTATTTGATTCAATGTATAAATACCTACTATGTATAAATGTACATCTCCTGGTTGCATTAAGTAAAAACCATTGTTATGGTAATTTTCCAACTAGTAATCATGTCATTTGCACTTACATGCATGTGCTATTTTTTTTTAAATAATATGATATTTTATATTGGTTTTAATATCATTTAATTTCTTATCATTTTAAGCGTTAAATACATTTTACTATAAATTTTATTAATGAAAAAGTTAACAGTAATTGATATTTTTATATAGATAGAGGGATACATGTATACTAATATAAATTAAATGAATTTTATAAAACTTTTCTTAATTTTTATATGATTAATATTTAATAATATTTAACCGTCCAATTTTATGTTTATTCGTATAAATCATGCATTTTTTGAATAAATAAAAACATTTAATTATTATTATATACTCAACAAATGCAGGTGAATATTTAATTTTTAAATATATATTAATAAATATTGTATATTGACATAATAAAAATATTTTTTAATTATTATTTTATACTCAACAAATGCAGGTGAATAATTATGATACTGCTAATAATTATTATTATTATTCTCTACAAAAGTATATACTTATGTAGACACAAATTTCTATAACATTTTTATACCATTAATATTTGTTTTATCCAACAATCACATTTTAAATTATACTAATTTAGATCAGGCAAGCTGAAGTTTAAGTAGATTTTAAATATTTATTAAATTAATTATTTAGTGTATTATATACTTTTAATAATTCCTTTTAATAATTTAATGTGATTATAAGATATTATATGTTTATAATCCTTTTTAGTCGTTGATAACGCATACACACGCAAACGTAGCTACTTGAACTTAGAACCTCAAAGGAGAGCAACACTCCCTTTAACCGCTAATATCACTTGATGGGTTCTACTTTTAATAGTTAAATATACGTCAAATAAAATGACATATTTAATTTGTATAATGAAAATACTAATTAATTTAAAAATAAAAATATAATTATATACTTGTAAGATATAGATTGTATATCATTGTGGGACCAAAGCAAAAATAATATATAGGGATCAAAATTAAATTATTAACTTCTCGAAAAGTTGGAGTGTAGTTTTATTATTATACTAAATAATAATTTTGAAATTTTGTATGGGATTCAAAAAAAATTATTCCATTTTAGGGCCCAAGGTGCTTGTGCGGGTCCTCACTCTACCACTAAACATCATTTATGATCTGCTAGGTATCAGCTCCAATAGTTGTGCAATTATTGATTTGGCAACAATTTAGTCCAACTAAATTTAATTAGTAGTGGATAGTCCTTATCAAAAAGTGAAAATGTCAACAAAGTGACGGTTATCATAAGCATAACTAATTAATTAATTAGGTAACTGAATATTAACTAATTATTTCAAACACTCACCTTCAAGTTGAAGGTTGGAAAATATGTTTAATCCCTAACTTGTCTAACCGCTGATAATGCTGTTGAACTCCCAAAACTTTAATCACAACGTTTGCAAGTTGTTCTGCTGAAATTACGTATTCAGTTTGTATTAATCTCTCTTACATCTTTTTCCTCGCAAAGTAATAATCAATCTCTATGTATTTGGTACGCACATGAAAAACTGGATTTGCAGCTATTTATATGGCAGCCTTACTATCACAGGAGACTGTTATTAGTCTTTTATATTCAAGTTCAAGTTCAGCCGACAACTCTTTTAATCATATTATCTCGGTTGTTGTTGTAATTGTTGTCGTCAAGCTTCTATATTTCGTTTCAGCAGACATCAAGCAATCGAATTTGGGTCTGGGAAGGAGTGGTGCATGCCCATGATCCAAAATTAAAAAGTCAACATATAATTAAGAAAAAGGTAAATTACATATTTAGTTATTCACCTATTACTTCATTTTTGGTCTGCTCATCTAGTTATTATATCTTTTAAATCATCCCTAATGTTACTTTTGTTTCTGTTTTGGTTATTTATCGTTAAGAAATTAACGACAATGCTGACGTATCATTTTTAGATTGTTTATTTAATTTGTACGTGATTATTCTTTTATTATTTTCTACAAGATGAAAATGACTGAAATCGAATCCTAATCCTCTTTAAAAAAAAGGTTATGCTTGTTTTGTGTGAGTAATTTGGTGTTCAATAAAATTTATTGATGTTTTCTATTTGAAACTTGATGTATTTATTATATAGTTTTTTAAACATAATAAAAATTATAAATTTTAAGTAATTTTTTTTAATTTGTTCCTTACTCTTATAATTGATTTTTATTGGAAGCCTGATTTCTAGGTTCTGTCTTGAAACCACCAAAATCTAAAAAATAAGCATGTATCTAAAGATAGCAAACTGCTACAAAAAGACCAGAGTATCTAAAAAAAATTATATTATCAATCATGTCAAATTTTCTTCTATAGAAATTATATCTAAAAATATCCATTACATAACTCAAAACATCAAGCTTCCCACTAACAAAGTCACCAAACACTATATAAAATAAAACTTCTACTGTCAATATATCAAATAATTTTCTATTAATAATATTACAATAAATTTCTAAAGATTCAATTTTAACTGTTCTTTTTTCATTTCTCGACGGAGAGTCGATAAAACTAAGAAGCAAATACTCGGGAATTTAAAGAAAAATCCTTTTAACATCTGCAAAACAAAAGATTCGATTAAATATAAAGTGAAAAAGAATTAAAGATATGAAGAAGAAGAAAAATATGAAAGTGGGTCCTTATTCTATAGAAAAAAAATGAAAGTGGGTCCCTATTCTATGGTTATATATATATCTATATATGTTTCATGGCATGAATTAAGTGATATTGGTAATAAAGAAATTGTTATAATTTTTTAAAATTTCGAGTTCGAGCACTATAAATGTTAGAAGAATGAGCATTCAATATCAAATAATTGATAATTATCTTTAGACAAATACTGTTTTGTACTTTTATATATATATATATATATATATATATATATATATATATATATATATATATATATATATATATATGTATGTGCATATTTCATGATTTTGCATGAAAACGGCAATTACGAATTCCAATTTATTGATTCAAAGGAAAACTGGAACTCGTCCGACGGCTACAATACAATACAAACATGGTATCAACCTTAATCAGCCGGCTACCTCGTCTAGATACCTGCTTCCTATATTTAATTTAACACAATTTGTTTTTTATTTTATTTAAATATACTTTTATTAAAGAAAATAATCTCCCACCACTAAGCAAAAGTGGAATCGAGAGCCTTAGGATTATGGTAACTGCTTCCTCAATTTACTTTTTTATTTCTATAATATTTGCATTATTTTCTCCTATTACATCGTGTGTTTATATCATGATTTAAACCTGTTTTTCGTGTGGTTTTCTTATTGTATAACCATTAACCACTCCCCAATAAATCAACACTTGATTTTTTATTTTATTTTTAAAAAAAGTTTTATGTATTGTAGCCACGTTGTATCGAAAATTCGAGAGGACTATGGTGGATCCAACGGGTTGAATTGGGTAACAAAAGGTAAAATTCTAATTACTCAAAAAAAATGGGGTTATATTATAATTAGGATCGTACCCCCAATTTGGGGAGTTGATGTCAGTGGGTATGGGGAAAATCAATATTCAATGCCATGATGATCGATACAAAAAATATTCAACCTCGTTTGTGGAGCACCCCTAATAATCCATCTATCTTGATTGGTTTATCGTCTATTTGTGGCCTTCCCACACCTCTTTCTTTGAATTATAGTAATTTATTTATTTTTTGCCAAAATTATTATTTTAATAAAGAAAATAGTTGTGGATCAAATGTCCATTGAGGTAACCCTAACCCTTAGGCAATGCGTTTTTATTTTGTTATATAGATAGAAATGACGACGGAAAATACGAATAAAAAATAAAGATGAAGAAAAGGTCAATTAAACAAAAATGATGGTTTTGTCAAGACACTGTTTTCCCCTCTAACTTAACCAATGGGTTAAGATGCTTTTTGGAGCATCTAAATGACTCAAACAAACCACACTCTAAAAACATTGACTTTAATCTTAAAGAATTTTGATCTTTTTGGATTTATATACTTCCAAATACCAAACTTAATTTCCAAATATTCCTCAAATTTGTTTGTTTATAACTAAAGTGATCCTAATTCATCAGGAGGCATCTTTCAAGTTTGACATTACTAAGATTTCTTATGGATAACTAGATTCCACAATTCATGCATATATATATATATATATATATATATATCCTGTCATCATATATCATACATCAGTTCGCATCATTACAATTCATTAACAATTTATAGTGGCTTCAAATGTATTCTAATATGTATTTAAGTATGCAATATTATCTAATTTGTATACTTAAATAAAACTCAGTGATTCTGGCATTGTATAAAAAAGTTCCCTCAAAACATACATAAACACAAAAACATTAAGGTAGCTGATACGACAATCAACCTAGAAGCAGATTCCTGGACAATTCTTTAAGCAAATTCATGCCCTTGAATTACATTGTTTGTAATGTTGTTCGCAGTCAATTTAGGTTAGACAGCTTACAAAAACCCAAGTCTTTTTTTTACTGCTTATAAACATAAAGGTTAAGCTGTAAGTAAACAAATACAAGAGTTTAGGTTGCTAGGGACAACAGTTCAGCGTATACAAAGAGGAACCACATTCATTAATGAATCAATAAATTAGTATTTGATTACATGGTGGCGCAACCAAAGCTCGTAAATAACCATGTGGAATGCATCGTACCTTATGGGTGGTGAATTCCATTGGAAGTGCTTCTGAACCTGGTAAAAAGAGTCGCATGGAAAATTCTCATTGATTTTTGCAGGTAATTAACTTCGAATTTAGTGAAAAGTTATGGCAAAATACTGGAAACGAAGGCTTACCGTCACTAGGTTCTTGTGTAGTGTAACAAATTCCTCTTGAGATATGTTCTTTAGGATCTGCTTGAGATTATACACATCATTCTCCCGAAGGACAACAGCAAATTTTTTCCAATTAAGAATGTCATTGAACGGCAGGTCATAATAGTTGGACAATATTACTGCGAGAAAACAAACCAGACAGGTTAAAGAAACATTTTAATCACTCTTGCTAAAATGTGGCAATCTTACTATGTCTTCAGAAGAATGATGAAAAGTTAAAGCACGTATTCCAAACTAAATACTAAGTTACTACAAAACTTTTCCCGGCATATGCTCCTTGTATTTCCAAAAGATATGATACAATCAAGGTAGAGTTGTAATCAAGATTACGTCCAGAACTAGAGGACAACAAAATCTAGGAGTATTTTCGCAGGCTGTTGAACTAGATAAGTCCACAAGGAATGGAAATTTATCACAGCCTTAGTACCAACAATCTAGGATTAAGCTGGAAAGGTAAGTTCAGCACGTCACATTTAATGGAGATAATCCCAAGTTTTATGTTGACATAAATTTTTAGAAAATGCTTCTCCAGAGCTCCGGAGGAGTTGCTCAAAAGAAGCACACCTCCTTAGATATGGCCAACTTTAGGAGTGATCCCATCATTATATCTATAAAAGTATATTCTAATTTTTCCCACTACGTTTAATCACAAAATCCAAGTTTTTCACAGGTATTTCATCAGTGGCCATGTAAATCCCCAAAAGGACATATCATCATCTCCTCTAAAGCATTGCAAAGGGCAAAAAAGATAGCCTAAGAGAATACAAATGTCTAAATCCCCCCCACTGCAGCAGCCACAAGAAGCTGAGATAGCTTACCAGGTACGCATCCATAATGGATTGAATCAGTTATGCGGGCACTGTTGACCTGAGAGCCACCAGGGCATATGCAAAATTTAGTTCTGTAGAACCTCTTCTGGTACACTAAATGTCCAGTAGCCCTGCTTATTCTATTATTCAAAATGTCAAGTTCAGTATCGTTCTCCCATATACGAGCCAGTATAACTCTAATCTTTGAGTTTCTATGACCAGCCCAAAAACCAAGCGTTGTCCTACAAACAGCTTCGAATCAGTATGAAGCTACAAGCTGTTTTAGAAAACTACAAATGAATTGAAAGGGGGGTTTTATTCCACCTATTTTCAACATCATTTCCACCAGCAGGAAGAGCAAATGGCTGCAAAACTTGAGGGACAGCAACATCTTTATGGGGAATGAAACCAACATCATAGCTTGGAGAACATACAGCACGAATGGCATTCTTCACAAGAAATGGAACTCCTTCGGTTGCCCGAACACCAATATCATGACAAGTAACAAAGAAATGATCGGCACCCAGAGTTCTATTCCAGTAAGGATACTTAGCTATTAAACCATCAATATAACTCTGAACAATTATTGTCATGTTCTCATACGAAGTGCCCTGCATTTGTAAGTTGTAACAACGGGTCAGTCTCCACATTATCTAATTTATTTAGATCTAATTATGAATAAATAAATAAACTGTTTTGTTTTACCTTGCCGCGCATTTTGTGACAAGAAATTGGGATAAAAAAGAGGTGAGCTTGATCTGGATCGTCGGTACGGAACCGACTCTCGCGAATGTTCTGGAAAAAGTAACCTTCACTGGCGTATTTACCGGTGAGTTTCCGGGGAGTTTGGTAAAAGGTTTTCGGATCACCGTCGGGGTAAATGTAAATCTTGAAATTCCTCTCCATTTCTTCGAAATTCAACTTGAAAAGCTTCGGTGAATGGTAAACATCGGTAAACAAATCGTCGTCGTCGTCTTCCCCTCCTTCATCGACATTATTTTCCTTTTCATCAGAAAGGATATGCGTATGAGAGGGAATGGCGACGGAGGAGGTGGTGGTGGTGGTGGGGAGAGTGAGCTGAGGGGTGGGAGGCGAGCGGAGGGATTTGAAGGAGAAGTAAGAGAAGGAAATTAGGGTCAAGATAGAGAGAGTGAGGATTGCTCCCTTTAGAGAAAACAGCTGAGATTGCTGCGACTGTTGCTTTCCGGCTATCATCGCCAGTGGATTGTGGTGGAATTCGGCGAGTGATGGCGGTTTTTATCTTTCTTTTATATTATTGGAGTGGCAGCGACGGTGGCAAAAGCAGCGCGCTAGAAGAACAAATCTTCTGATTTTAGTACGTGGCTGGTATTGGAGGGTGACGGTTCAGGAAAATGTTTAATTTTCTCGATTGGATCTAAGTATTTAACACAATAACACTTGAAAAATCACTGCTCTTCACACTAAAACTAAAGCGTAAACTACGCAGTTGGTCCTGTTACAATAGTGTTATTTTTAATTGAGTAAATTAATCATAAAAAATACAAACCAATCACTTAAGTTACTAAAAATTACAAGTATTATACGCTCCTACACACTCCACCTCTCTGGAGAGTTTCTTACCTCAAAGCCGTCCCGTAAAGCTCAATAATGAATAATTTATATTGTCTAATAGATTCATATAGTAGATTATAAAGTAAACACATTAGACTCGTAATGATTTAAGCTCAATCTTCGTATCCAACCCAACTATAAAACAATCGTAGAACTTTCAAATATACTAAATATATAAAAAATTACTCCTAAAATTTTAGAATGGATTTATGTACGAATACCATATCATAGTCGATCAATTACTCTCTACTTAAATCAAAAAGAAGTAAACCACAAACTATCAATTTAATTATTTTCTCTCTCATTGTTTGGTCTATTGTAAATCATTATCTTATTCATTGTATATTTGATTTTGTTTTTTTTAAAAGAGGAATAGTACTATTTCATTAAAAAAATGAATGGAAGACGATCATTTAATAAAATTCAGCGCAATATGATACTAATGTCTTGAATGATAAAGCATCAAAATAAATAACCAAATTGAAATCGAAACGTTCTACATTAGTAATGGACTATAGACGAGTATTGATTTTGGAAATAAACATTTGGAAGAGAACCAAGCTTTGTATAATAATGAATTCCTTGTTAAATAACTTCAATTTCTCAAACTCCATTTATCAAATTCAATTCAATTTTTTAAAAGTCAAATTTAATATAACTTACATTTATAAATATCTCATTGAATCATATGTATTCAACACATGATTTTTGAATTTTCACACACATAAACCTCTCATTCACCTTGAAGCATTTGTATTCAACACATGAACTTGAATTTTGAATTTTGAATTTAATATAATCTTCTTTCTTTCATTTTATTTAAACATATTTAATATCAACCAGAATACTTAACGTAAGTTGTGTAATATATATTTTTGAAGTTCTTTTTATTAGTTTCGAGTGATTATAAGATAATATTTGTTCGAAAGACTATTAACAATTTGACAATGAATGTTCAAACACCTCTGCATATGTTATGTTCAAACTTGAGACTTCTAAAAATAACAATTATCGTTTAACCACTAAAATCACTTGGTTCGTGCTCTAAGACTTGAATTCGACTGCATGTGATAGACTTAAAGTTGTTGTTTTTTTTTTGAAGACTAATAGAGATTATAGAAAGACAAGCCCAATGGACCTTTGAGTCCATTGCAAAAACATTTTGTCAAACCCTAAAAGGTTTTTAATGGTAAAAAGTTTCACCTAACGGTCGACAAAGTAATTCAAATTCGAAAATTTCCCTTTCCAAATCTATCACAAAAATCAAACGCATTGAATTTTTTCCTTTCCTTTCAGTCCTGCTCTTTACAGACTTCGTAAAAGATAATCCAAGAACATCTCAAAAATTTTCTCGCAAGCCAAACACTGCCAAAGCTTTGGTTTCCTTATGGATAATTCCCACTTTAACGCCTTTCCTCAAAACCCAGAAACCCCTCTCCCAGACTTCTCTATTACTAGGGGTTTTGACTCAGAAAAATACGATCTTGCCTTGAATCAAGATAACCCTAGCTCCGCCATGGAAGTTGAAGAAGAATCTTTTGCTGACTTAATGCTTTGCGACTCTAGTTCAAGGCTGATCCCATCTGGGTTTTCCAAAACTAATTGCACAGGTAAGTAAAATTTCTCGATATTTTTATTGTTATGCTCCTAATTATTTAGTTAATAATAAGACTCAGTGAAAGAAAGAAATTAAAATTCATTTTCTTGATATGTTTCCCCAAAAGGAAGTTTTTTCCTTATTGGTGATTTGATTTCTTAATCTTTTTTTCTGGTTTTTTATATGGTTTACAGATGAAATTGTGATGTTTATAAATGCTGGAGGAGAGACTTTATGTGAAGCAGATTATAGCATGAAATTACTCGGGGATACTTACTTTGAAGGAGGAACTGTTATGCAGACCAACGAGCCCATTACTGAGGCTGGAGATTGTCCATTCATTTATTGGTCTGCAAGATTTGGGAGCTTCTGGTACCGGTTCAACAATCTTCCTCCTGGGGACTATTTGTCGATCTCATTTTGCGGAGATCATAAACACTAATGGACCTAAAGGAATGAGGGTATTCAATGTCTATATGCAAGAAGAAAAGGCAAGTTATACGTCAACATCACCCAGTTTGTGTTGTGTTTTTTCACTTCCTAGAAATGTTAAAATTTTGGTGTCAATGTGACAGGTACTATCAGATTTTGATATCTTCTCAGTTGTAGGAGCCAATAAGCCATTACAAGTTGTCGATTTGAGGGTATCGGTCAAGGAGGATGGCCTAATTGCATTGAGGTTCGAAGGAATTATTGGAAGTCCAATGGTCTGCGGGATTTGTGTAAGGAAAGCAAAAAATATTCCAGGTGCAGTAATTTGTGTTTCTATTATTTGTTTCATTTTCAATTTTAACTTTAGAGCACGTTAGAAGAACTGCAAATTTAGAAGCCTTATTTCCAATCTATGTACAGTTACTCAGGGATCGCAAGAATACCTTAAGTGCAATAACTGTGCTGCTGAAATAGAAGTTTCCTCAGCTCAGGTTAGGATTCATTTAGTTGTTATTAGATGTTTTCTGTAAGGTTCAAATTGTTGCTTATATAGACTTTTATTTTGGGTTTGAAGATGAAACTTGTGAGAACAAAAGCTACAGATAAATATGAGAAGAAGATACAAGAGCTCACTACACAGTGCCAGCTCAAGACACATGAATGCCATGAGGCTTGGATGTCATTGACTGCGGCAAATGAGCAGCTTGAGAAAGTTAGGATGGAACTTGACAACAAGATCTTCAAAACACGCACGCTAGGTAACTGCACATTCTTTAAATTGAACAGAAGAAGAATTCTTAAGCTACTAAAGAACTCTTTTACAGTGATTCTGATAGAATTATGCTGTTCTCAGTTTTCATTGACGTGGGCAAATATATTTCTTCCATAACTAGTCTTAGAAACTTTAATTCTTGCTAAATAGTTGTTTGTTCCACATATTTCTTGAAAGTTTGATCAGAAATGTTTATGGAAAAGCCTGTCCAATGGTGGTTTGTCTAGATTATGTTTTATGCTTAAGTTTTACATCTAGAGGGAAAGTATTACTTGCTCCTTTTAAACTCAAGAAATCTTCTCTTGTCAGATGAAACTGTGGGGAAACAAGCCGAAAATTTGAAAAATATTACTTGTAGTTATGACCAACATAAGAAGCATTGGGAAGCAGCAATCAGTAATTTACAAGAGAAAATAAAGGTAACGAAGTTATCTTTTCATTAATTGTTACTTTGTGATAATTTAACTTCCTGTTGTTGTTGCAAGATTATTTATTTTAATGCATTTTCTTATTGATTATTCTGCAGATAATGAAAAAAGAACATGCTCAGCTCTCTCATGAAGCACATGCATGTGCTGAGTCAATACCTGAATTGACCAAAATGGTCACTGGTGTTCAGGCACTGGGTAGGGTCTAATTCAAATGGATAATCTGATTTGGAGTTTCATCTGCTTGGGCTCACAGAATGTGTTTGCAGTTGTGCAGTGTGAGGATCTCAAAATAAAGTATAGCGAGGAGCAAGCAAAGCGAAAGGAACTCTATAATCAAATTCAGGACACTAAAGGCAAGAGTTTTTTTCCATTTTGAGTGGTTTTATAAATGCAGCTTTTGCAATTTATCGTTGAAGACTACAGAGGTAAACAATTGTTACAATCTATTCATTTCAGGTAATATCAGAGTCTTTTGCCGCTGTCGTCCACTTAGTAAAGAGGAGATATCAGCTGGTTTTGCTCAGGTTGTAGATTTCGGTGCAGCAAAAGATGGAGACCTTGGCATTCTGACAGGTGCCTCTACCAAAAAGACTTTCAAGTTTGACCGAGTTTACTCACCGAAAGACAACCAAGGTAACAATTACCCGTCATTCTAACTCCAATATCAACATTTAAAGTACTGTAAGATGCTGATTTAGCTAGTGTTTGTTTTGGCATAACAGTTGATGTTTTTGCGGATGCCTTTCCACTAGTGACATCAGTGTTAGATGGCTATAATGTCTGTATTTTTGCTTATGGACAAACGGGAACAGGAAAGACATTTACAATGGAAGGCACTGACCAGAACAGGGGAGTCAATTATAGAACTCTTGAGGAGTTGTTTCAAATTGCTAAGGAAAGGAGTGAGAGTTTTAAGTATAACATATCTGTTAGTGTTCTTGAAGTTTATAATGACAAATTAGAGACTTGCTATCTACATCACCGACATCAAAGAGGTGAGACAGCTATACTCTTTATTACAAACTTAACCAGTCTCTTTTGACATATGGTATCCCAAATGTATGCTAAATGGTGATTTATGTGTGTCTCGGTTGAATTTGCCTTGCAACATTGAATCTTAATGTATTCACTTGGTTTTCGTTGATAGGTTGGAGATAAAGCAATCTGCTGAAGGGTTTCATCATGCTCCGGGCATTGTAGAAGCCCAAGTTGAAAACATTAAGGAAGTTTGGAATGTATTGCAAATTGGAAGCAATTCTAGAGCTGTTGGATCAAACAATGTGAATGAGCATAGCAGCCGATCCCACTGGTATCATGACACCCGGTTTTTCTTTTTCAACTCTTTAAATTGAAAGATCATCTTTCAAGTTTTCTGTTTTCTTTCCTCGTTAATTGTTATAAAGAGAAGATTTTCTTTTACTTTTGTTCAGCATGCTTTGTATAATGGTAAAATCAAAAAACTTGATGACTGGTGAGTGCACGAATAGCAAGCTTTGGCTTGTGGATTTGGCAGGCAGTGAGAGGCTTGCAAGAACTGATGCACAAGGGGAACGACTCAAGGAGGCTCAAAATATCAACAAATCACTTTCGGCTCTTGGGGATGTCGTATACGCTTTAGCAACA